TAAATCCAGTTTGTTGGTCAGACTCATCAGCATGACGGTGAGCTTTACGCTTGAATCCAGTGCCCTATCTGTTACGGCTATCTGCTTTCTGAGTTTGAGTCACGAGTGCCAATCCGGGAAAACGACCAAGAAATCCGAATTCTGGAATCACGGTACTATTGCAAATATAATAATATACATATTCAACAAACCTCAACGGATTATCATCTGCAGATAATTTAGGGTTACAAAAATAATGCTTACAATTTCCAGCCTGAGGATAAAGCGCAGATAACTACGACTCAAAATCGATATCGTCATAACCAAACAGATATCGACGGCGAGCAACCGCAAAATCACAATGTCCGACCAAAGTCCGGAAGAGTTATAAAAATAGTTCAGTAGAACTAGGAGGTTTCAGTTCATCTGGTCAAGGTAAATAAATATGGGGATTGGCTGTCACTTGGGGTTGGAAACGGGAGCACACTGTTGGCAAGCTGTCTTCTACACTATTTACCAATTCACCATAGGTTATGCAGCAACAAATCTTGCTTGCAAAAATCAACTTAACTCCAGAGGAACGTCGGATCCAGCGTTTAGCAAACTCAATTTAGTGTTTCCTGATTACTTTTCAATCACCCGATGAGCAATGTGATCTCGAAGATAGCTGACATTCACAAGCGCGCTTTCATTTCGCGTTTAGCAAACTTAATTTAGTGTTTCCTGATTAATTTTCAATCACCCGATGAGCAGTGTGATCTCGAAGCTAGCTGACATTCACAAGCGCGCTTTCATTTTGAACACGCGAACTTTCATGCAAAAAATCAGTTTTGAACGTCATCCGAATGGGGTGAGCCAGAGAGTTATGGACTAGATGGTTTTTGGAAGCTGCAACGTCCGAGGTGGCATGAATCCTTCATTTGACCACAATCAATGCTCTTGATACGCGTCTGACAAATGAACCACAATAAAAAGTGAACGCAAATCGTCGTAGTACAAAAATTCTTTATGCGAATGCTTCCACTTTCGACTTGGCCGGTTCTCGGACTTCCTTGGGACCTTGGAATCGGTGGCACCGACAAAGTGGCTGGAAGTGGTAGGTAACCGACCAATCATTGTCGCTTGGCTGTCCGGTTGCTGAGAAAATGATACCATGTTGTAAAGCAGAAGAATATCAGAATCCCGTCTGAATCTGTAAAGACATGGTTCCGAGATCCTCATCTCACGAAGATCGTGAAAATGGGTAGAAATTGGGACCACTGAGCTTGCTCTCCTTCAATGAGCCAAGCTCGTTTCTTCATCAGTCCAAGACGCTTGGAACGGATACTGAACGTTTGTGTTCGATGATGGAATAACTCCGACAGCGTTCAGAGCATTTCATCAAACCCGAGTGCAAAAAGTGGCTTCGCTTTGGAACAGATTGTTGACGGGTTACGCCGCGGTTTTTATTGTTTATGTCTTAATTATCTGACTCACCCTCCATCATCAAACGGGCAAAAATGAACTATCGAAAGGCCCCTGTTCCGTTTAAATCGGTAGCCGAAATTGTGACCACGAAGTGGGATAAAAGGAATTTCGCCGCTGGACTCTATGCCATACCAACTGGAAATAAAATGCTACTGACCACTAGTTTTGACCAATCAATATCCGAGTTAGTGATATGATGGGCTTTAGTTATGCTTTCTCAAACGTCTCCCTTTGTTGTGGCAACAATTGTTGGGGGTTAATAAATCCGATAGACGTCGTGAGTTTCCTTACGCCGGTTACAGTAGAAATAAAGCTTCAGCTCAGCTCGTAATTAAGTTCACTTGAGCTAACTTTTTTGATGGAAGAACCGGTAATGATCCGAAGATTGGGTTTGGCGCCGAAAACCATTTTAAGCCCATGCAAAGCTTGCCGGATATCAAGTGCGCACAGTTACAACATTTGAAGGCTTCTGTCCCCCTTTGGATGTGCTAAAGGCAACTGGCATTTGATGGATACTGGATCAAATCCGGCTGTGAAGCACCTATTCTTACGAGGCAGAGCCACGCCTGAAGTTAAGAAGGCAGGCGGCCCAAATTCCCTGACAACTAGTTGTGACCTTGGCTTGTTGAACGTAGCAGCGTGAGGGGAAAAGTGGAGTTGAGGTGCATCACGCCGCGTCAAAAACTCCTGTGCCTGTGGTTTGAAGTACGGCTTCGCGAGGAGTTGCTTCTAGCTAGGCCTTTGGCTTTAGAAAATGATGGGCCGCACCTGCGGTCACAGCTGAACAGTCTCAGCCATTATCGCCACGAATTTCTTCAGTTTGTAACAGAACACTACCTGACCAACCGCTGATTGTGGTCCGTAGGACAACGAGCTAGGCAAAACCTATTTAGTTTGCCTTAGTGTTCACTGGTTAATCGCAACTGATTAAATTCTAAGATCTACGCACATCACGTGGTGCAACGATCGCGTCACTCACCAATTTTGTGGTGGGCGCGAGCGTCTCATTAGCATGAAAACAATACTTAATGGTATCAGCTTCTACGGTCGAAAAAAGCCATCGACTCCTTGCACTTTCATCAATGGTCCCGTCACGATTCCCCTATCTGTGATATAAGTGCTAGCCACAATATGATGCAAGAAGCATCAAGTCATTGAAAAACAGACAACAGCTTTCAGCTTTCTGGGGACACTGAAAATTGTGCTGTTCACAAGCAAGGGTTATCTGTTTGCCTCAGCCTCGAACGGCTTTAGACAGACAAAGATGGCAAGCCCACCAATCAGGGGTTATTTTAGGTGGGTGACTAACACTGCTTCATCAAAAGGTTAACAAAACCTGCTCCAAAACATCACCATCAAGCACAAGGACATCCGTAGTACACACTACACAAACGCAGAGCGCTCCTTCGAACGCAATACTAAGAAGTTGTCCTAGAAGTGGGAGACCAAAGTCGAATTTCTATTTCAAATCCATCGTTAAGAGAAAGCGCCCAAGCTAGCGATGAGTGACTGTCTGTTGCTGCACCGCCAAAACCCCCCTAAGCCTACGCGCCGCCGAGGTCCATGAGTTTTACCAGGTTCTATCGTCTTCGTGCACAGAAAAAGAGGTTTCTAAAAGACCAAAAGGGGCAGCTGCTGCCATGATGGCCTCACGACCTAGAGGGCATGACCAGGCTGAAAAGCCATGCACTCCTAAGTCATTATCGTTGATACCAAGTATAACACCTTTCTCACCGAGTCATAACTAACCATGACTCATGGCGCGCCATAGATATAATTCTCCTCAGCCCGTAAAAATCGGGCCTGCAGCAAGTGGATGTCCATGCCTGCCATAGATATAATTCTCCTCAGCCCTCGGGCCTGCAGCAAGTGGATGTCCATGCCCTCAACTGCTACTTGTATTGTGCCCGTATATCCTCTCACCACTTAGGGGATCACTGGCACTGATACCCCAGCCTCGGCGACCAGAACGGCAGGGAAAAGTCACTGTACTTCCAAGTTTTCCAGGCCTGTCAGCGCTGGGGATAGCGGTACTCCATGGGCACATCAAACCTACCCAGTAAATGTTTGCGCGTGGCTTGCGCGGCTTGAACGCGACATGACCTACCACGTTTGAGTCGAAGTTGAACACGGGCAATAAAGCCCATCTTTGTGAAAAATGAAATCTTCAGAGCAAACGGAGTGTGTGACTTACCATGTGCTAGTGGGGCAAAAATTCACTATCAGAGCAGCGATTATTATTCACCATAGCAAAGATAGCCCAGAGCTATAAGATGTATTGTATTAGCATGAGACATTTGGCGTGGGTAAAAATTCACTCCTGGACTGTCCGTCAGACCAAATGACGGAACAGTCCTAGCGATATACGTGAGGGGCACAGGTTTTTACATACAAATCATCACTGGAATTCTACCTTACTGACCTGCGCTCGGTGCTCTTCATTATATTAGACCCGATGGTCAGGGCTCATTATGTGAAGTACAGGTTCCCCTTCGCATAACCTAATCAAGCAAATGAGGGGCACCAACCACAACTCCATCCCAGCATCAGACAACAAATAATATCGGTGTGGCAGTCTTACATACCCAGGCAACATTTT